TGAAGTCGACTACTGAAAAATCTGAAAATCTTCCCAAATTTTCAGATTTTTTGGGTGAGTTTGCCGCAATTTTTAGGCAACTTCCGACCACCAACACTGCAAGTTTTGGATACCCTTGGAAAGCCCGCAATATCCTCTTCAATTACCACCAAAAATTTTCACATAACTCCAAAGAATTCGGCCGGAATAAACCTACGAAGTCAACTACCAAAAAAATCTGAAAATCTGCTCAGTTTGGGTAGCTGACTTCATGGGTTTATTCTGGCCGAATCTGTTAGAGTTATGGGGAGATTTTTCATGGTAATTGAAGATGATATTGTGGGCTTTCCAACGGTATCCGAAATCGACGGTATTGGTGGTCGGAAGTTACCGGAAAATTGCCACAAACTCGCCCAAAAAATCTAAAAATCTGAGTAGATTTTCAGATTTTTAGGTAACCGACTTCGTGGGTATATTTCGGCCGAATCTCTAGGATTTATGAGGAGCTTTTTGGTGATAATTGAAGAGGACATTGTGGGCTTTCCAACAGTAACCAAATCCGGCGGTCTTGATAGTCGGAAGTTGCCGGAAAATCGTCGCAAACTTGCCCAAAAAATCTGAAAATTCAGTGATCGTTTGTGAAAGAAATTTAAACTTCAGTGACTGTTTTTGCAAGTTTTAAACTTTAGTGACCGTTTTGTGATTTTCAGGTAATTTCAGTGACCATTTGTGAAATTAACCCCACGAAATTACAAACACAAGACTTCATTTTTTCATTTTTCTTTTTCCTTTTTCACTTTCTGTGATACAAAATTGTTGTAGCCTAGAAAATAACATGTATTAAAAAATTAGTTAATTTAAAATCCAAATTTTGTAATCGGAACTTAGGATGACAAAATTCCTCATTCTAAACATTTTATTTTTACCTGTCCTAACGTTTATTTTTTTTAATTTACATTGTATTTTAAAATCAATATGTACACAGGCAGAAATGTGGATATTTTAATCCCCAGTCCGCCTTCCGAAAATTTCCAAAATGAGGTATTTAGACCCCACTTCGACTAGATGGGATTATGAAATCTCCCAACAATATTTTATTAAAATTTTTTTTACATAAGAATAATAATAATCTACCTTCAAATAAAATAATATAATTATCACTCATTGAGTGAAAGAATTTTAGAAAGCACTTCAAGACAAATATAATGTCCGACCCCCCTAATATACACCACCTACAATTCCTTGCAACTTAGTTAACCTTGTTTGATAACTCTAATGTTTACTGTTTGAATTAGAGATGGCTACGGGATGGGGTGCAAGCCTGCCCTGTTTCCTGTACTTTTTTTCTTTATTTTTAATTTTCAATTAAAATATAAATTTAAAATTTAAAAATTAAGAGCAAATAATACTAAAACAAACTACATCAATATCCAAAGCAAGCACTCGAAATAAACAATGTCCAAAGCAAATTTTTTTTTTTATTCTTCACCGGATGGGGCATCCCGCCCCCGCCCCACCAACCCGTCGAAGCGAGGCGGACTTTTTTGCTATCACTAGTTTGAATGCAAGTAGCAAGTGTTGTTACCGTTGGGGGGAGAGAGAGAGAGACCAACATCTGTCATTTAGGCTGGACGCTTTACTACACATTTATCGTTGAAGATAACCTTTATTTATTGGTCACTGCTAGCTTTGTTTCAATTTCAATTGGCCAACATCAAAATGCGAGCTTAATTTTAATTTTCTTTGCAAATACCAAGGTGGACATCATAATAAAGCTTCAAATTACTACATAATGGCCCTTCTTTTCATAACAAATCTTTTATTTTTAATTAGACAAATACGGGGATTAAAGTCGGTGGTTTTTATTTTTATTTTTATTGAATAATTATTATTTATTTCATTCCTAAAGATATTTTAGAAAGTGAGACGTTGATTTCCCTTATTTAATCTTTTTAATTATTTTGGATTAATTAGAGAAACGTAGGGATTAAAATCACGTTTTGTTTTTATATTTAATTGAATAATTATTATTGTCTTCATTTTCTCAAGAAATTTCCAATTTGGAGATGTGGTTTTTCAATTTATTGAAATTAATGAGAAACATAGATTTTTTTTTTGAGAAAATAATTTACGAACATAGAAATTTGAGAGTTTAAATACATATAAGATTCTCATGACTAACAAAAGTGACACGATAATTTGTTTTTTATGGTTGTTCATTATGGTCAAGGCATGGTTTTCAATATATATCATACATTTATTCATATCCATGCCTATGTTACTCAAATTGAAACTTTATAAAATTTAAATTTCGTTCAGTTTTGTTTTTTCGATGCAAAAATTTCAAAATTGTTTTCTTTACTATAGTAAGAAGCGCATTGTGGTGTAGATTTGGTAAAATTTGTGTTTTGAAAAATTCAAACGTGACAATTTATTAATTACTATAAAAAATTAAAAACAAATTGAACAAACTTAAACTAATGGCTAAACATTCTTTTCGATATAAACTTATATTTGATCTGACATATATAAGCAAACAAATCTGGAAATAACCCACGGTATAAATAATAAAACGCACAAAAAAAAAATAAAATTGAAAATAAAAAAAATAAAAGAGAGCTTAAACATCTAAAAACATTTAAAAACAAAAGAGAATTTAATTTAGCGTAACAGAGGGAGCGCTGAAAGTTTTTGCCATTCCTATATCCAATTTTATTTAATTTAGTGTGTGAAATACATTATTACGATCATGTTTTGTTGGAAAAATTATAGAGTAATGAACAACATTTAAAAACAAAAGAGAATTTAAACATCCGACTCATTTTTTTGGTAAAATATCCTTCCTTGAAAATCCAAGTCGTAGGATGTGACTTCATTAATGAAACATCCGACTCATTATACTATCTAGTGTTACATACGAAACATATTGAATGGTTCGCAAAAACAGTCAATCGCGTATATCAAATTTTTCTGGCCAATTTATGTATGAACCTACGTACCATTTATCCATACACGTCACGCATGACATAAAACCTCTTGCTATAGATACATGATGAGTATAATTAGCTGGTTTTCGCTCTAATCAAGAACATCTAGGGCTTGATGACAATTACTTAACTAATTTAGTTTCACGATATCAAGTGCAATTAGTAAACAATCATAGAAACATCTTGGATTTGATGCTGATTGACTTAGCCCTTCAACTCCTTAACTAGTTTTAGCAAACCTCCATGTACATATAACAAACAACAACTTCATACAAAACATTCAATAAGTATCATATGAGAAAGAAAATCACTTAAACTTAAATCAAGTAAAAATCACTTAAATTTGGACGAAATTAATTATTTTTGTCGAGCTCGATGTATTCATGTCTTTTGTTTTGTGGGTTCACTGGGCTCAATGGGGGCCAAAGTCCAAGAGACATAACAATATTATTACTATGATTTTGTCTTTACAAATCAATATATATAATATTTCTCTCTCATTTTTCTACCCTCTCTCCAAAACGTGGGATCTGATT